CTTAGCACTTAACACATGACTAGCATTGTATTCAGTGGGTTTGAATCTCGGAATATCATAGTAGGTCAGGGCAAAGCACAGAAGTTATTACCTACTTGCTAGTTATAAAATAAAACACTTTAACGGTTTAAAACGCGATATATATCCCCGTGATCACTGCAAAGCATCCAAAACGTCGTGCCGTAGTTAAAAATAATTTTCATATAAGTTCAAATAATACATGTTGCGTTTTAAACGGTTAAAGTTTCCTTTTTAATGTGTACTACTCGCGTAAACTACAGACAATATTTACTTGCTAGTAAATAAAAACCAACAATAAACCGGACACTGATGTGTGTCTGTTCAGTGTGTCTGGAACATTCGTTAATATATACGGACAGCTAAAGTCAATCAGAGTGTTTGAACGTTAGATCGACTTTGAAATAAATTTTATTACTGTCCAGGTATGTTTGAGGTTTACGAGTAAAATTAATAGTTATTTTACAGCTGACCCTATTCAATAAAATCTTCTTATTATAGCAACCACTTTAAAATATTGGTGTTAAATGTTATGTATAAGTAAACTTGACTGTATGCTATTTGACTCTAAATGTATATTTTTTATTTATTTATAGAACCACATAAATAAATAAATAGTTTTTCTTTTGTTTTGTGTTGCTGAATACGACCGAAGTTGTGATCGGTAATGTGTAACTTTTTGACCGATAAATTGGTTTATTTGGAAAATATTTTTTTATATTGACTTCTCTGAATTTTGCTAACGTTATAAATAGTGAATCGTTTACCTCCGTGGACATAGAAGATACGCATTTCTGGGCCCGTTTCACTAATTGGTTCTTTGACAGCCAAATAGTCTGTCAGACTTCTGTGCCGACACAATCTATTATCCAGGATTTAATGCAATGCCTGGCAATACTTTCAACCATTTAGCTCCAGGCGGTTTATACATATATACAAGTATGTCTTGCATAGTTAAATAATACAACTGCTTGAGTGATTGAATAATAATCAATTTATGTGCTTAATATTTACATAAACAACACCAGATACAAGTATTGACGTTAGTTAGAAAACACTTTTCCGAGATGCATTAGTTAACTTACTTCCAACATTGTTAAACTACGACTCATTTCTTCCCCCCATGACCACAACCGCTGCAAAGCATCCGAAACGCCGGGCCGAAATTAAAAATGATTTTAAAATAAGTTTAACTAATATATATCGCGTTTTAAACCGTTAAAGTGTTTTATTTAAATGTGTACTACTCGCGTAAACTACAGACAGTAAAAACATATTGTAAATAAGTTGAATAATACATTCCGCATTTTAAACCATTATTTCTGTTTTGAACGGATATATAGATCGTTCCACACATTTGGCGCGTCTTAGCCCCATATCGATTCCAACAGATTATACAGCTAAAATAAAACGATTATTGTAACTGAAACCGTGTCTATACAAAAAGAGGTCTGTGGGTGAGTTTTAGTCGAGGTCGACTTAATTACAGGTGCAGGGTGAGTGGGGTGTTACACTGGCGAACAGGAAACAGCGCAGACGGTGTATATAGCCGACGCATAACTAATGCCCGCGGCGTCACCTGCCCGCCGTGAGGTCAGCCCGGACTTTCTCCGCTGAAAAATTTACGAGCGAATAAAGATGCATTTTAATATCGTCCTTCTATTTTCCCAACGTGTTACTCTTATGGGACAGATCACTGTTTGTGTAGAGGTTGCAGGTTGTGCCTTTCGCGCATTTCAACTTGATGGCTAGGGCTCTCATCACGCAAACAATACGAGTCGTTAATATTCTACACCAAAGGGTTGATATTTTCACGGAGTAATGGAGTGAAATATCAAATAATCTTCTTAACGTAATTGATACAAGTAGTAATTAAAATTTTGTACGACATGAAATGAACGCATATATTTGTGTGTGTAAAGAAATAATAAATAAATAAACTTAAAATTGTAGAGAGAAAAACACTATCTTTATACAGCTGTTACCCACGACGTCGTTCGTGTCCCATCGTTCTTGCAAGGTAATCTTAAAATAAATACATATTACACACGCAACGGAAACCCACAAGGATAAATAATTTTCCCCGTTTTTCCCTTTTTTCCACATTTTCCACTATTTATTCGCTGCTGTTGGTAGCAGCCTGATCATATATAATAATTAATAATACTACACTAAAAAAAGTGCGAAACGTTTACAAAAATAAACGTATACGCATTCCAACGCAAAATCTAAATTGCTAATGCTTATCGTGAGATCAAATGATCATAATCTTAAGTTAATTAGTTATAAAATATAAATTATGGCTTTTATATTACTAGTTCATTTTAATTACTTCATATTCTATGTCTATTTTAACGTCCTTTACTTCATTTTAAATAAAGTTTACCTAACACGAGTATAGCAGATGTTCAAAACTCGATTTTTTTATTATTAAGTGTGTATAATTATGTCCCTCACGTCTTTAAAAATATTTTTTCTAATTTTTTTCCTCCAAAGATAAATCTATAAGAGTATTTTTGACTTATTTAGCAATATAAAAGATGTATATAAAAATCCAATTATATAATTACAAAAAGCGTATATGTTTTGTTTTTAAGAACTTTATAGAAACAAAATATTAAAAACTTCATCGTAGTTCAAACAAAATAAAAAGAAGGTAACTAATACATTCCGCGTTTTAAATCGTTAAAACTGTTTTATTTCAATACTTCATTATACGTAAGTAGTTTTGGTAGTTAGTCTCTTTTTACTTTAATCCAATGCAAATAGCGTAGAAAAATTAAAATTGCTAGAGACTATACTATAAGTTACGTATTATCTGTAGTTTACGAGTAGTGCACATAAAAACACTTTGAACCGTTTAAAACGCGAAAAATATTAGTTAACTTATTTACAATTTATTTTAACTACGGCCCGACGTTGCAACATTTTAAATAAGTCATCTAGTAATTTCACGTTTTAAACCTTTAAGTTTTTATTTCGGTATTTGTGCTTCTGAAACAGCTTGAATTAAATGCATGTCCAGCTACAATCACGGTGTTTTATGTTTGGCTAATCACCCAACGCTGGACTTGTAGCTGGCATGCTTCGGTGCACGCGAAACCGCCATCAGGACTATTATGTGGTCGGTGCTAAGCTTCGTGATACCACGGACACAGACACAGACTATAAACGTAAGCATAACGCCAAGACGGAATGTGTTATCACGTTTAAAATTGAGCGACCAAGTCAGTCGGTAGGACTGACTCGGTAGCTCAATTTAAATAAAACACTTTAACGGTTTACAAAGTTGCAAATATTAGTTAAACTTATTTGGAAATTATTTTAACTATGGCCCGACGTTTCGGATGCTTTGTACTACTCGCATAAACTAAAGACAGCAGTTCAAGTATTACGTACTTGTGTAATATAAAAAAATAAAATGTAAATTAAAAATTGACTTTAGATTGAAAAAAATGCTTACGACATGGAAAGGACTTGAACCCGCATCGACAGCGTTATGTGGTGTTCGGCCTTATCGCCTATGGCGATTTCTTCTAGGCAACCTTTGTTTACGGAAGAGAGAAATAAATAACCAGTCAAATAATAAAACTCATCAAGATAGGAAAGCATGCAGTAAACTGACAACAGTATATACTTAAATATAAAGCCGAAGAGTTTGTTTATTTGAACGCGCTAATCTCAGGAACTACGAGTTCATACATAATTCAAAAAATATTTTTGTGGTAGTTAGAGCATTTATCGACGAAGGCTTTAGGCTAATGATTTGCGTGCATGCACTTTTTTCAGATTATTGTGTGTGATTGTATATGTGTATAGCATTTTGAACAGTGTTCAAACTAACGAACTTACACTGAATCTTATGTATTATTAGTATATCTATCTTGTATATAAGAATAAGAAATCTATAATATATAAAAAAAATGGTAAAGATTCAAAATACGCGAACGATTAGTTTAGTCATCCTGTGTGTTTTGAATGTGGGCGCAGGTAGAAAGTGTTGATGGCTTCTTAGAATATTTTCTTACGAGTCAAAACGGAAAATGATAGTTCTGATGACGGGACTGGTTATGGAAGGAAGTGACTTTCCCTGTAGCATGTTACCAGCTTAGTACAAGTCTGCAAAAAATGTGGCTCGAAATAAATATTGGTTTCAAAGACTAATAGGTCTTAAATAATATTGAGTGATATTTTTATTTGGTTCGTGGTTAGTTCAAAAACATAATACCTAATTAGACGAGTTTGTTGATAGCAATGTAAGCTTCTATTATAAGAAAAAAATGTATAGGTTCTTAGGAAATAAAAAATACAATTAGAGCGCGCCTAACAGCGTTGAAGTCCTGCCACATGAAAACCTGTTTATTTTAAAGAGATTTTATGTAAAAATATCCATTAAAAACTTTACAATTTAAATGCCACTAATACGCTGTTTTGATATCAGATACTTTGAACTAGAGATGCGACGAGTAACGGCTACAGAGTTTACTCGGCTCATTTCTTTTACTCGGCCGAGTAACTCAGTTTAATCAAATTCTTATTTCGCGTGTGTAAAGAAGTAGAAACAGGTTTGCGCCGGTCAAGACGTCGGCTCGCTCTCATCTTCTCGTAATGTTGTCTCATTACTACTCATTCATTAGCATAGTTTTAATTTTTTAATTGCAATTTCAAAGATTTCATAATGCCTTATAAATACGTTTGTAATAACACGGTCTTTTTAATTATATCTACCTAAATATATTGCTTTTCCCCAATAAAGTATACTCGTTATTCAAAAACAAAGTATGACCGAGCTATTCGGCCGAGTACGAGTATTAAAAAACCCGCCGAGTACGCAGAGTACCGAGTATCAATCGAGTACTCGTGCCATCTCTACTTTTAACAATATATACATATATGACAGTTTAGTGAAAGTGATAATAAAGCGAATTATTTTAAAAATATATATATTTAAATAAAACTTAAAATTAATAAATTATAACATTTTATTCGTAGTCATCATCAGGTTCGTTTTGGAATGCTTTGGCTGGCGGTTGGAGCATTTTGGTCCTAGCAGCAAGCCTAAGGGTAGCAGGACCAAGGCTTCCGGTGGGTGCTTCTGGCATAGAAGGTGCACCCAGACCAGATTTGCCCTCGTTGCTGACGAGAGGTATCTGTGAACAATTTGACATAATATCAACACTCTGTTTAATTTTCAAAGGCGCGAAGCACGTAAAAATTGACAATTTAAAATTTCACAGACATTAAGATAATTAATCTTAAGAGTATTAAAAGCACTAACTAATACTCAAATATACTCAAAAAATGAATATACACTTGCGAAAAAATATACGACTGCGTGACGTTATAATTTCGCCGGTTGTATATACGTGCACTTTTCACAGGGCGTAGAAAATTTTGTCTTTTCTAATGTCAAATCTTGGGAAGGTTTAAACCCAGAAAACATTTTTTTATACGTTTAATTTAAAAAATTAAACATTTCTAAAGAATTACTCTTAGTTTCTTTATAGGAGATTTACTGTTAAAGATTCTGAATTGACACAGTATTTAAAACCGAAAAATATTATGTTATTTTAGTTCTACTAATAATTATTTAAATAAAACAATTTAATGGTTTAAAACGAGGTATATATTAGTCGAACTTATTTGAAAATTATTTTAACTGCGGCCCGGCGTTTCGGATGCTTTGCAGCAGCCATGGTCACTGGGAGACCCGTGACCACAGCGTGATCAAATAAGTCTAACTAATTTATAACTCGTTTTAAACCGTTAGTTTTTTTTTAATGTGTACTACCCACGTAGACTACAGACAGAATTCGTATGTATATAACGTAAGTAATATACGAATCCCAGTTTTGCTACTTAGTGGCTGTATAGATTAGAGATATAAGATTTTGTTGAACGAAAAGCAGGACATAAAACAACAAACTCACTATTACCAATGCAGCGTAATTATATCATAGAATTATTACTCCATTATCCCTCGAGAATATAAATTACCGACGTTCATGCATCACCAGATATAATAAGACTACTGAACTGCTGCTCAAATGCGAAATGAGAAAGAAAACGGTCAAATTAATTATCCATATCGGGCAAAAAATGGCGATTTCTCAACGTGGGTACATAGAACTATTTTTAATTTCTGTAAAGCCCCGTTTCTCGGTGCGGCAGGGGCATATGTCTGTCTGTTTCACTGATGTATATATAAAATACTGTCTGTAGTTTAAGCGAGTCAGTGTGTACATGAGTACAATGTGTACATTTAAATGAAACGCTTAAACGGTTTAAAACGCGATATATATTAGGTAAATAAGTGTAACCGTTAAAGTATATTTTTTTAAATTTCTATAAATATTATTTTCTAAATATTTAATAAGAACCCAGGTTTTCTCGCGCGTAACGCCATGCTACACATTCGTTTAACAATATCGATTTAATTTTTGATTAGGTAACAATTGTGTCCAAATGTTTTAAATAGTGTATTCACTTAAATATTTTATGTAATTAGCTTAGGCGTTTCAAGTGTTGGTAAATAAAAAGAATAAAACTGTTTTTTTTTTAATTACTTACGGCTAATTTTATCAATGTACTTTTGTAACTAATAAACCAATAGTTCGATTATGTTCAAACAACAAAGTATTTAATTTTGAATCATATATTCGCTTTATTGTTTTCTGCATTGAAGAGCAAAGAAAGTTTACGCCTGCTGTACGAGAAAAAACTTATTTGACATTTGATTAAATGCGTTGTCAACCCTAATGGCGCGTGTCAGAACTCATTAATAGGTTGCGGGAAAAAACTCGAATATATTGTGGTGCCAGTTCAGACACAACGGTCATGAATAAAGAACAGCCTGACCGATGGTCTGCCTGGGATTCATAGGACCTAGACTATAGACTATAGAATGATCCCTAGTAATGGTGAACAGCTCGGAAGCCTGACGCAGGTGTGATTTATTTAAGAAGGCTTACCAGACCAACGAAACCTCCGTTACTCAAAAGTTCAACGTGTTATCTGTAGTTTACGCAATTAGTACACATTTAAATAAAACACTTTAACGGTTTACGCGATATATATTAGATAAACTTATTTTAAAAAAAATCACTTCGGCCCGACGTTTGGGATGCTTGCAGCAGCCATGGGCACAGGGAGACCGAGTCTTCTACTAATGTATATATCGCGTTTTGAACCGTTAAATGTTTTATTTAAATATTGCCCGCGTCGCAAAGTATTACGCTCCTAAGAGGTCCTGAGTTCGCATCCCTGTTAAACGATAAAATGTTTCAGTAGGGCAGGACACATAAGTCTGATCATTCACCGACCACACTAGGCTGTAAAAAAATTCGATTAGTAAACGGACATAGAAAAGTGTCATTCGTGAAGGTGGGGGCATTCACGGAAGAGGAAGCGGAATTTCCCTTTTGCACATCAAAACTGAATTGCTGTAATTCTCAATAAATATAATTATATTTATTATTTATCATATTAGTTGAAGTAGAAGGAAAATAAATCCTTCAATGTTACTCCATAAAAAGGTTAAAAACGTAACATTTCGTTTTTCCCTAGTTACATGAACATCCTACAAAGCAATATCATGTCTCGCATAAAAACTGTAACCACTAGACCATAATCGGCGCGTACGCATCAGTTACATTCAACGTCAAACGCACGCACACACCGTCAGTCAGTCACAGTGAGAGACCGAGATAATATAAGCCGCAAGAGTTACTTATCGAAAGTCTTCGAACGTGAAGAAGTGTAAAAACCGACCGCATAATAATACTAGGTAGTTAGGGACGCAAAAAGTTTCAGAGGATGAATTTGTTGCAAACCATTTTCTGACGCCATATTAAACGCAATCAAAATTGTAATAAAAAATTAATTTACCGACACCACAAAAAATAATATGTTTGTGAATGGATATTATACTCTAACAAAATTTTGTATGACAGAATAATTCGTCTTTAAGTGATCTAATAATGTTTGCGACAGTAAGTAGTATCTTATAAGATTAACTCGTAAGAATTAATGCAACTCTAATAAATGGCAATAATTAATTATTTATTAGAGTTGTATTAACAATAATATTAATCTTGCAAACGATAAAACAATGTTTGCTGGATTCGCTAAAAATATCTATATAAAGACACGGTAACTCAATGGGTTAGAGCACGGAACGATGTGGATGCCAGTTCAAGTCCCTCCCGCGTTGTAAATTTTTTGGCCTAAATAATATATTTTTTATAATATATATACATATTTTAAATTCCATATGTGAAAAATACACTTTTCAAATATGGAAATAAAATAAACTAAGGTTAGTTTTGTTATAACGTAGTCAGCAAATGTTACAGAAATAATGAATATCGTAAGACTGGTATTCTTTCGTCTGCAAGTCTAACATTTCTAGACGAGCGGAAGTGGAGATTTCCTGTCGCTGCGACCGGTGTGTGGTGATCCAAGCGGGTCAATGCAACAATTCAAAACAACTCCATCTATGGCTTAGTCAATGCCAACCTAAAAATTTAGTCGCGTTAAATAGATACTGAAAAGTAACAATTAACACCGTAACGTTTTTACTTCTCACTTATTACGGACTGGGCCCATAAACTGAAGTTATTTTGAAATAAAAGGCCGAGATTTAATTAAATGATCAAGTTCTTTTTATATATTGCGTCATACTTTCTACAACGATCCGTATGCAGAGAGCGGGAAAACAAAAACATACAGATTTTACATGTACTACCAACATAAGACAAGAAATGTAAACAGTCCTCTCAACATTAAATCAATGTATTGACATTGCACAGATTAAATACTGTCTATAGTTTACGCGAGTAGTACACATTTAAATAAAATACTTTAACGGTTTAAAACGCGATATATTAAAACGAAACGTCGGGCCGAAGTTAAAAGTAATTTTCAAATAAGTTTAACTGATATATCGCGTTTTAAACCGTTAAAGTGATTTATTTAAATTGCACAGATTAGATCGCCATTTTTTATTTTAAAAATCTCGCTAGTGCAATTATTCGCTTAAGTGTCGCTGCTTCATGCGAATTGGCAAGCTTTATTATAAAGCTGAAGAGTTTGTGATTGAACGCGCCATCTCAGGAATTGAAAAATTATTTTTGTATTGTTTAGATCATTTATCGAGGAAGGCTATAAAACACCAGGCGACCAATAAGAGCGAAGAAAACTGAGAAAATATTTACCTTTGAGTTTCTGTTGCGTACGCTGCGAAAACGGTTCAGGATACCCGAAAACTATGTATGAACGAATGATTCCTCTTAAATGAACTAAACGGTTTACGGACATCTTTTAAGATGAACCGTTTTTATACTAGGTGCTAAAACATACATAGACGGGGCAGTTACACAATTCACAATATTGAGTATGTCGAAAATATTCACAGTGAGAATTATCCAACAACACAGCTGCACCTATCGGCAATTTGCAATGCCACTAATTTCTGGAATTTTAATGCGATTATTTAAGTAATAAATATTGCCAAAAATGGCGCCAAAAAGGTGCCGTCCGTGCCGGAATGGCCGTCATAAAATTCCTTTTAATTACGACTTTTAATAAATTAGCATAAGCGAATATGGCATCCAGTTTTGATGGCACTTTATATAAATGATTTTAGGAAAATTATAAGGTATATAAAACACTTTTAACAGTTTAAAATGCGAAATGTATTAGTTAACTTATTTACAATTTATTGTAACTAAGGCTCGACGTTTCGGTTGTTACGCTAGCGCCATCTTTAGCAGATTGGACTTTGGACATTAATCTTTAGTCCTCCGTGACCACGGTTGCTGTTCACATTTCGCGTTTTAAACAGTTAAAGTAAGTACTTGCGGAAACCTCAGATACTTAAAATTGATTTAATCAAAAACGAGAGAAGATTTTTTGCGTTTAAAACTCAATTTTGTTTTACGATAGCCGTGACCAAAGGTTTCATAATTATTGCTAATAGTTAAAAAAGGAACTAATTAATTACGTGTTTAAAAACTTTAAACGCGATTTATTTACTACTCCCGTCAAATACATACAATACTTAGAAATCACTGTGTTTTACTTAAAAACATAATCTATACTAATATTGTTAAGCTGAAGTCTCAGAAAATACTGAGTTTGAAATAATAGA